TCACCACTGTCTCTTGTGATGTCAACAATATCTCTGATGATGTCACTGGTGTCTCTGTCATGTCATCCTTGTGCTTGTGAAGTCACCGATGTCCCCTTTGATGTCACCCATGTCCATGTGACATCACTGCTTTCCCTTTGTTGTCAGCAGTCCCCTGTGATGTCACTGGTCCTCAGTGATGTCACCCGTGTCCCTGTGATATCACCAGACCCCTTTGATTTCACTGATGTCTTTATGACATCATGGCTGTCCCCTTGTTTTAACCATCCCCCTGTGATGTCACTGGTCTCCAATGAAGTTACTGCTGTCCCTCTGGTGTCACCTCTGTGCCCAGCGGTGGCACGTTGTCCCCGCGATGTCAACCAATATCCTTGGGATGTCACCAGACCTCTGTGATATCACCGATGTCCCTATTATATTACAGCTGTTTCTTTCTTGTCACCAGTCCCCTGTGATGTTACTGGTCCCCAGTGATGTCACCCATCTCCCTGTGATGTCACCTCTGTCCCCTGTGATGTCCCCACTGTCCTTGGTGATATCACTGGTGTCCCTGTGATGTCATCCCCGTCCTTGTGAAATCACCACTGCCCCCTATGATGTCACTGATTTCCCTGTGATACCACGCCCATCCCTTTGTTTTCAACAGTCCCCTGTGATGTCACTAGTCCTCAATGACATCACTGATGTCTCTTTGATGTCAGCCATTTACTTGTGATGTCACTGATGTCCCATGTGTTGTCACCAATGTCCCTGTGACATCACAGCTGTCTCTTTGTTTTCACCGTCCCCTGTGATGACACTCGTCCCCAATGATGTCACCAATGTCCTGTTCCTTAGGGTTAGGGTTAGGGTTTAGGGTTAGATTAGGTTTAAGTTTTAGGTAACATTTAGGTAACATTAGAGTAAGGGACAGGGTTATAGTTTGAGTTTAGCGTTTAGCATTAGGTTCAGGTTTAGATTTTTTTTTAAAGTTAGGTGTAGTGTTCAGTACTGTCTAAGATACCTCCCAGTCCAAAGGTGCACGTACAGAATGCTCTTGCTCTTTGTTTAATATCAACAGTGGCACACAAATTGCACTCAATAGATGATGATTCACAGTTAGAGTTAATGTGAGATGCTGGGAGTCAGGGTTAAGGTTACAGATGGGGTTAAGTTTAGGGTTAGGATTAGATTAAGGTTAGGATTTGGGTAACATTTGGGTTAGAGTAAGGGAACCTTACTCTTAAGGTTTTAATGGTTTTATGGTTAGGGGTTCGGGCTTAGTGTTAGGTTTGGGTTTACAGGATTTTTAAGTTTGGGTCTAGGGTTCAGTATGGACAAAGATACCTCCCAGACAGAGGTGCCCGCACAGAAAGCTCTTGTTCTTTGTGTAGTCCCAAGAGTGGCGCAGCAACTGCACTTGAGAGACAGAGGCTCAGGGCTTTCTTTCCCGGGAGGAACTGCAGTGCACACCCCCTCACTGCAGCCCCAAAAGTGTTCCATGGTTGCCTTTGTGATGTCATGGCCTACTCTCCCCATTCCAGAATGATGCCTGAAAACCAAAGAACCAATGCACCACACCCCCACA